TATATTACATTTTCTCTTCATTTTCACCTTCTTTTGGATTAATCAAGATTTGTTAATTATCGTTCCCCTTTATAAGCTTGTTATCCATTTTAAAAAAAATTATTTTAGTGATGACAACATTTCCTTTTTTGACTGCACAGAGTCTAAAACAAATTATTACTTTTAACACATCTTGGCTAATGCATAAACTTTAGAATATTTTAACTTCATTTATCCCTGTTATCTTTTGTGTTATTTTTTCTATTATCGTTCAAAAACTCATAAGATATCAAGATGTCTTATGAGTTTCTAGTCACTCAACTGTCCTAGTCACTCTTATTTCACACATATTGACCCTTATTGGTGTTTAATGCTTGCTTCATTTCTGTGATTTTACCTGGGCTCAGATACCTTATTCCTGAAGAGCTTCCTTTAGAATATCATTGTAGTGTTTTTTTAGTTTCTGTTATTCTAGACATCTTTATCTTGCCCTCATTTTAAGCATATTTTTGCTCAGTATAGAATGCAAATTTGGCAGTCATCTTTTTTCAGCACTTTATAGGTGGCATTCCAAAGTTTCTAGCTTATATTATTTTGTTCGTTGGATTATTTGCGAGAACTCAGTTGTCAGTAATAGTGTTCTTTTTCAACCACCATATCTTGCCACCCCTTGTTGCTTTAGTATTTTAGCAATTTTACTCTGATACTCTTCAGTGTGGGTTGGTTTTGGGTTTTTTCCTGCATGGAGTTTGTATTGATTCTTAAATTTGTGACTCAACATCTTTCGTCACTTTGGGTAAACTCTTGGCCATTATGTTCTCAAATATTGCTTCTGCCCCATTCTCTCTCTCCCTTACTTCCAGGACTCCAATTTCATGTATGGAAGAGCTTTTACCCATGTTTCTTATAACAAAACCACTTTATCTTTTTTTTTTTTTCTCTTTTTTTATCCTGGATAGTTTTACTGACTTTTCTTCTTCTGGATGATAAATTCTCTCATCAACTATTTCTAATCTGTTGCTAAACCCATCTGTTCTTAATTTTGGTTACTATATTTTTAGTTCTAGATTTTTCCATTTGATTCTTTCTTATAGATTCCAGTTTTCTGGAATAATTCTCCATGTTTTCATCTATTTTCTTGAATATTAATCACAGGTATTTACCTGGATTTCTATTTTCTGGGCTGTGTTTTGTTTCCTTTTGGTTCTGTCAGTTGGCATGCCTGGTTTTTTGTTTTTGTTTTTAACTGAATGCTGGACTCTGTTTAAAAAATTTGTGGGTGCTCCGTTGATGTTATCTTTCTCCAGAGAGGGGTCCTTGAACTTTAGCAGGCAGTTAGAGTAGATGCAATTCCCCTTAATCCAATCAGGGACTGAGTTTATTTTAGGCCACGTATTTGTAAGATCTGTTCTATTTCTAGTTTATCCTTATACCTAGAATGTATTCTTTCATGATCTCAGATAAAAGCCTAATGTGCTCTCCATTTTAAAGAGCTCTTAACTCCAATTTTTATATTCTTAGCATCATAAGACCACTGTTAACTCTCTTTAGCTCTCAGCTTCTCAGTCTGTCCCTCTAATAAATTGGTAAATTCTTGAGGAGAAAGATGGATCATACTATTATCTTACATATTTGCTCTGGACTTTACTCCAGAATCTTAACTCTTCAAATTCTGGCTGTCTTGGTAGCCCTAACACCAAGTTTTTTAATCTCCCTAACCTCCTGACACAGGTTTTGGGCCTTAAATTCTGCCTTATTTGATTCTAACATTATGCCTCCTTCCTGTTGTCTGACTCTTTGCAGTGTATCTTTTCTCATCTATTTTTAATCTATTTTTGTCCTTTGCTTTACATGTATTTTCACAAGTAACTTATAGATCGATTTTATTTTTTAATAATATGACAGTCTCTACATTTTGATATTGAAATTCAGCCTGTCCACATTTACTGTGACAATCAATATAATGTTTCATTCCTCCAATCTTATTTTATATTTTCTTTGTAATAGTTCATCTTTTTTCCCCCATTACATTTACTGACTTATCCACATTTACTGTGACAATCAATATAATGTTTCATTCCTCCCATCTTATTTTATATTTTCTTTGTAATAGTTCATCTTTTTTCCCCCATTACATTTACTGACTTGTACAATGTCATCTTCATTTCCTCCATTCCACCCCAATTGGTTTGAATTCCTACTGGGCTTTTTCATTCCTCTCATGATCACAGTTCTATCCCAAATAATTATTACAATGATATTTCTATTATTATATCTAAAAAGTAATTCCACTGAATTATTTCCTCATTCATCCTGAGTTCCAATTTATAGGTTTTTCCATAATTTTTAAATAACATAGATATGGGGAAGATCTTTTAGAGCAAGTCAAA